ATTATTTGTGTGTCCCTATACTGACTGCAGACTCTGCGAATTATCCAATGAGAAGCCTCCTTGTTGAAATCTTACCTCTGTTGCCCCGAAGAACTGTCAAAATCGATCTAAGATAGCTTCAAATGACGCTGAAACTGAACTGCATCGGTCACATTGCCTAGAATATGTATTTTCTTCTATATTCTGCCTTAAACCAGGGCACTTTTTTTTTTTTATCTTAGGGTCTCGTTAAAGCACTCGATTTGTCATAGTCTTGCAGTAAACATGGCATTCTGTTGTTATGGTTGTCAACCAATCCAGTAAAGGAATGAACAAAAAAAGGCCAATCAGAAAATACGTTTTAGACACGTGAAAGCAATGCGTGAAACTGGAAGAGGTAGACGTTTCCATAAGCACAGATAAGCGCAGCGGTTGTGACTGGGATTCCCATAGGGCTGCGCACCATTGGCCCAGCGTCATCCGGGTTAGCGGATGGTTTGGCCAGGGGTATTTCCTTGACTCATTGCGCTCTAGCGACTCCTTGTGGCGGGCCGGGAGCCTGCAAGCTGACTTCGGTCGTCAGTTGAACTGTGTTTCCTCCGACACATTGGTGCGGCTGGCTTCTGGGTTAAGCGAGCAGTGTGTTAAGAAGCAGTGCGGCTTGGCGGGTCATGTTTCAGAGGACGCATGACGAGACCTTCGCCTCTCCCGAGCCCGTTGGGGAGTTACAGCGATGAGACAAGATCGTAACTACCAATTGGAATTCACATAAAAGGGGGTAAAATAATTTTTTTTTTATAGAGAGATAGCTAGGGCAGAGGTCTAATCTGACTGGTCATAATCCCACTGTGTCCCAATACTGTTACTATAGGACATGACAGAGAGCTCTATATTTCGTCCTTTCACTTACTTAGCTAGCAAATGCAGCTAGCTAGTTTAGCCTACTCAAACACCCGGCTAAAACAGAGGAATGCTATGTTAGCTAGCTGGCTATGACTATCCAACACAACACTGGAACTCTAAGCTTTTGGTTTTACTAATTTATTGCCACCGGGGCCCGCCAGTGTAAGTGCTAAACTGCTTACTAACTGTTACTGCATGATTGTAGCGGGTTTACTAATTCTTAGTTCTATTAGCTATGTTGACTATGACGTTACTTTAGCTATTATGGTGACAACGATGTAGGCTGTGTGTAGAGGTTATGATATGGTTTGGATTTTCTTTTTTGCCTGGTCACATACAGCTGATGTGTTGTGCATTGAAGTCCACAAGTGAAGGGAAAAGGTGAGAGGAGAGCAAATACAGTGAGGGAAAAAAGTATTTGATCCCCTGCTAATTTTGTATGTTTGCCCACTGACAAAGACATGATCAGTCTATAATTTTAATGGTAGGTTTATTTGAACAGTGAGAGACAGAATAACAACAAAAAAATCCAGAAAAACGCATGTCAAAAATGTTATAAATTGATTTGCATTTTAATGAGGGAAATAAGTATTTGACCCCTCTCCAAAACATGACTTAGTACTTGGTGGCAAAACCCTTGTTGGCAATCACAGAGTTCAGATGTTTCTTGTAGTTGGCCACCAGGTTTGCACACATCTCAGGAGGGATTTTGTCCCACTCCTCTTTGCAGATCTTGTCCAAGTCATTAAGGTTTCGAGGCTGACGTTTGGCAACTCAAACTTTCAGCTCCCTCCAAATATATTCTATGGGATTAAGGTCTGGACACTGGCTAGGCCACTCCAGGATCTTAATGTGCTTCTTCTTGAGCCACTCCTTTGTTGCCTTGGCCGTGTGTTTTGGGTCATTGTCATGCTGGAATACCCATCCACGACCCATTTTCAATGCCCTGGCTGAGGGAAGGAGGTTCTCACCCAAGATTTGACGGTACATGGCCCCGTCCATCGTCCCTTTGATGCGGTGAAGTTGTCCTGTCCCCTTAGCAGAAAAACACCCCCAAAGCATAATGTTTTCACCTCCATGTTTGACGGTGGGGATGGTGTTCTTGGGGTCATAGGCAGCATTCCTCCTCCTCCAAACACGGCGAGTTGAGTTGATGCCAAAGACCTCGATTTTGGTCTCATCTGACCACAACACTTTCACCCAGTTCTCCTCTGAATCATTCAGATGTTCATTGGCAAACTTCAGACGGGCCTGTATATGTGCTTTCTTGAGCAGGGGGACCTTGCGGGCGCTGCAGGATTTCAGTCCTTCACGGCGTAGTGTGTTACCAATTGTTTTCTTGGTGACTATGGTCCCAGCTGCCTTGAGATCATTGACAAGATCCTCCCGTGTAGTTCTGGGCTGATTCCTCACCGTTTTCATGATCATTGCAACTCCACAAGGTGAGATCTTGCATGGAGCCCCAGGCCGAGGGAGATTGACAGTTCTTTTGTGTTTCTTCCATTTGCGAATAATCGCACCAACTGTTGTCACCTTCTCACCAAGCTGCTTGGCGATGGTCTTGTAGCCCATTCCAGCCTTGTGTAGGTCTACAATCTATTCCTTGACATCCTTGGAGAGCTCTTTGGCCTTGGCCATGGTGGAGAGTTTGGAATCTGATTGATTGATTGTTTCTTTGGACAGGTGTCTTTTATACAGGTAACAAACTGAGATTAGGAGCACTCCCTTTAAGAGTGTGCTCATAATCTCAACTCATTACCTGTATAAAAGACATCTGGGAGCCAGAAATCTTTCTGATTGAGAGGGGGTCAAATACTTATTTCCCTCATTAAAGTGCAAATCAATTTATAACATTTTTGACATGCGTTTTCTGGATTTTTTTGTTGTTATTCTGTCTCTCACTGTTCAAATAAACCTACCATAAAAATTATAGACTGATAATTTCTTTGTCAGTGGGCAAACGTACAAAATCAGCAGGGGATCAAATACTTTTTTCCCTCACTGTATATGCGAAAAGGAATACAACATGGCTGCTATGAAAGTGAACTGTGTTTAAGTGTGAACAGGGGTGTATTCATTCCGCTGATTCTGTTGAAAAATGTTTCTTAAACAAAGCAAACGGAATGAAATGGGGTTAACATACCTGAATTTGTCCAATAGAAACTCTCATTTGCAACTGTTGGACTAATGATTACATCCTAGATCAGCTACATGCAGGCAACAGTGTGCAAGGCGGTATTGAATGTGTCACGGTCTGTCACCTCAAATTTTTCTCTCGACCTGTGTGCACCTACGTTGTAAACTTTCATTCATAGGCTAGGTTGTAGCAACCTCGTGATGGGTATAGGGAAAATTGGAATATCATGTAGTAGCCTAAACCTATCGCTGTTACATTGAACTGGTTGAATGGAATATGAATGACAGTCATCCAATATGCTGTAATAGAAATAAGGCCATGCTCATGAAAAAAGAAAATCGTCCTCCCTCATCTTAAACAACATCGACCGCCACTGGTCTCAGGGAAGCTCATCTGCCTGCTCATCATCCACTTGACCTGACTTTAGTTCGGTGTAATAACCGACTTCAGTGGTCAAATGCTCACATTTGATGGCCACTGGCTTGCTGGAGAAGTGTGCTCTTCACGGATGAATCCCGGTTTTAACTGTACCGGGCAGATGGCAGACAGCGTGTATGGCGTCGTGTGGGCGAGCGGTTTGCTGATGTCAACGTTGTGAACAGAGTGCCCCATGGTGGCGCTGGGGTTATGGTATGGGCAGGCATAAGCTACGGACAACGAACACAATTGCATTTTAGCGATGGCAATTTTAATTTATTTTATTAACCTTCATTTAACTAGGCAAGTCAGTTAAGAACAAATTCTTATTTACAATGACGGCATACCCCGGCTAAACCAGGCCAATTGTGCGCCGCCCTATGGTACTCCCAATCATGGCTGGATTGGGATACAGCCTGGAATCAAACCAGGGTCTGTAGTGACGCATCTAGCACTGAGATGCAGTGCCTTAGACCGCTGCGCCACACGGGAGATGCACAGATACCGCGCTGAGATCCTGAGGCCCATTGTCGTGCCATTCATCCACCGCCATCACCTCATGTTTCAGTATGATAATGCACGGCCCCATGTCGCAAGGATCTGTACACAATTCCTAGAAGCTGAAAATGTCCCAGTTCTTCCATGGCCTGCATACTCACCAGAAATGTCACCCATTGAGCATGTTTGGGATGCTCTGGATCGACATGTATGACGGCGTGTTCCCCAGTTCCCGCGGCCAAATAGCCAGCAAACCTCACACCAGCCATTGAGGAGGAGGAGTGGGACCAAAAACATTCCACAGACCACAATCAACAGCCAGATCAACTCTATGCGAAGGAGATGTGTCACGCTGTATGAGGTAAATGGTCACACCAGATACTAATTTTCTGATCCACACCATTACCTTTTTTCTCAAGGTATCTGTGACCAACAGATGCATATCTGTATTCCCAGTCATGTGAAATCCATATGTTAGGGCCCAATGAATTTATTTCAATTGACTGATTTCTTTATATGAACTGTAACTCAGTAAAATCTTTGAAATTGTTGCATGTTGCGTTTGTATTTGTTTGTGTACACGTTTAGATCGCTGGCCGCAAGATTAACTTACAATCAAAAATGTTTTAGCTGACATGGGCTAATTGAGTGACTGTCAGTGACTCACATTACAAGAGAAAAACTGCTGATGCACACAGACGAATTTCAAAATTGCACCTTGTGAATTCTACTATTCGAACTCTCAACAGTAAGTTGAGACTCCGACTGGGGGAATTCATCCATCCCTGTCCTAGATCCTAATTTGTTAAGAAAACGTATTTTAAATCACTGAAATAATTATGCATTTCATTGCATACATCGTTTAAGTATTTATTAAACCTAGTTCATCCAAAAATCTGTAAATATATTCTCCCTCTCTCTTTCCTCTGTAGCATTGGCTGAGCTAAAGGACATCCTGTGTGTGCGGGGTGACCTCACGGGAACAGTGCGAGAAAGGGAAAATATTTGTGAATTTATGGCATTGTATTTCGAATAGAAAACAAAGAAATAAAACAGAAAAAATAAATAAAAAATTATATTTATTATCTGGTATTCCATAAACACTTTCTGTACCATATTGTATCTTTGACATTTTACTTGGCAGAGGTAATGATGATGAATGCTAATAAAATGACAATCATAGCACCACTCAAGTGTTGTGTAATGTAGAAATAATGTAGACTTATTACCCAAATCCAACAATTCAATGAGTCCACCCATGATATATTGAAGAAAAGGCATGAATGAATGGCAGAATCTGATTAAGCTGGAAAACAAAGGCAAGTGAAAAGTAGGCAGTGTGCATTATGGGTAGCAGATAAACCAGTAACAGTGAGATGGAAGGGTCTGCAAGACTCACCTGCAGCTTCTACTGCATAATCAATATTGCAAAACTAAATAAACCATTTGGGACATTAAATTAAAAATACTATATATATATATATCATGAAAGGGGGAAAAAAACATTCCAACCTAAATGTCAATGCATCATCTGGTAAATAATGCTGCCAGAGATTGTGATGGAGCAGTGGAATGGGAGTTAGCTGGGGTCCACTGTCCATAACACAGGTAGATTTAGGCAGAGTTCTGCTACCTGTAGTACAGGTAGGCTGCCAGGCTGATCATAGAGGTGGGTAACAGAAAGAAGGGCCTGCTGCAGGCCCAGTAGAACACAGGATAGGAGGGTGTTGACCAGCATAGAGCAGATGACATAAACTGGTGATGCCGCTGCCATGCTTCAGCACTATTGACATCAGCAACCCGTTAGCCGCCTGCCCTGCCCGATGGCCCACACCGCCCCTGGGTAACCACCATACAGCCAGTCAGGAAGCCCTCCAGGAAACCCTGTTCTCTCCCCCATGCTGGAGAGGTGGCAGACCCCGTTGATGGCCACTCCAAACACATGCAGGTACAGGTTCTGCAGGCTGAGGGGTAGTCGCTGGCTCTTCAGCAACCGCTCTGTGTAGACGGCCGCCAGCCCTGAGATGAAGTAGTAGACCAGCACAAGAACAAGGCCCCAGGCTGTGATGTGAAGCCTGGGACTCGCCTGGTCCTCAGCCTAGGGACAGGGGGGCGTGCAGGGCAGACAGGCACCCAGTCAGGAGCAGAGTGGCCAGGGATACCAGCCCCAGGTGGACTCCCCTTCATCCACCACCTGCTGCGACAGGACGGGGACCCGGACCCCATGGTCTGGATCGCAATCATTCTCAATACTGCATGTCACTCACACCCCTGAATAACTAGCATATGTCTGTGAATGTACAAATACCCTCACCTTAAATCATAACATCTAAATTAGCAACAAATCCCATAATTTAGGCAAAATCTGTTCAACAATAACATGATATTCTCAAGGTATGTTTGTATTTTAAGCTGGTAAAAGGTATTTCTGCTTAGAAAACATAAAATGGGACACTGTCTTGCTGTTGACATCATTGATTCAAAATCAATTAGGCCTAGATGGCTGCACCAGGCAATGTTACTAAGGCAAGCAGTCAAACATCCCTGCAATGTAACCTTACATGTAACCTTATCCCCTTTTACAGACTTTATAATCTGATTCACTGATCAGCAGATTGAGAATAACAGATATTTTCCCAGGGCACTGACAGTAGATTTACCCTTTAACATTTGCACATAACCCAACGCAAACCCAGTCTTTCACACCGACTCCCAATTGATACATCAAAATCCAGTTAAAACCAAATATAATTTTTGCAGTATACAAAGCAGAGGTTTGAGCCTCTGAAAAAGAGGTTATCCACAGAAGTGGTGGTTGTGCCCCAAACCTCAGGCAGTTAGAAGATGAAGCCTAGGCCTGGTTCTTCCCATTACTTGGATCCTTTTCTAAACAAACTCATATAGTCTTTCAGGTGCTTTCGATGTTGGGCACCTGATAGTTCTGTGCAGCATAGATGCCTGTGAATGTTCCCAGTAGCACTCCTATGATAGCTGAGGAGCGGAGCTTGGCCACCATATAGCCAGCCAGGAAACCCTTCAGGAAGGGAGATGCCAGCACAGAGCCCCCCTGAGGGAGAACAGGAAACAACAGTCAGGACAAAGGATGCAACACTTTTTTTTTTTTTTTTACAAATGCCCTGCTATTACAACTCTTTAATGATACATAATCATTACTTGATCCTTCTATTCTTTTCAGGACGGAGTTTGTCTGCTGTTCTGTTTCTTAAGGTGACATTTCACCTACTTTCTAACTTTGCATAATAACAACATACCTGCGGGATTCCTTCTGCAAATTCACTCTCCACACGTTTCTGGATCTCTTCCAGCTGATTCTTGAGCTGGTTGAGATCCTTCATCTGTTTGAAAGGATCCTAGAAAACATACAAATAAGGTATACAGTAAATTAATGCAATGAGCTTAGGTAACACTGCCTAAGGCTTTACACCACACTGCCTTTTACACCACCATCAACAACAACAAAACACCAAATGATGGAATTTCTCGTGGAAGAATGGTGTCGCATCCCTCCAGTTAAAGACACTTGTAGAATCTATGCCAAGGCGCAGTCAAGCTGTTCTGGCGGCTCATGGTGGCCCAACGCCCTATTAAGACACTTTATGTTGGTGTACATGTAGCTACAAGGACAGTAACCAGCTAGTTAACTAGACATCCGAATACCAACCAACCGGGCCTGTCTGGTTTTGAGTTAAAGCAAGTTGGTTTAGGAAGAGCAGAAGACTAGATCATGCTGTTCTAATATATATATATAGGAAAAAAATACGATTGAAGCCAAACTACATTACTCACCTTGTCGTCCGCCATTTTTGTTCGATGGAATGTTCTTTGACCTACTCGTATGCCTGGAGTAGACCACCACTTCAGAGCGATTTATCTTGCCTGGAACATGATTTGCTTTTGGGTAAAGTTGTACTGATTGCAAGTCAGTTTAGCTATTTTACCGCTTACTCATCAAGGTGGTATATTGACAGGGTACACTGATCCTAGATCTGTGCTTATGGAAACGTCTACCTCTTCCAGTTTCACGCAATGCTTTCACGTGTCTAAAACGTATTTTCTGATTGGCCTTTTTTTGTTCATTCCTTTACTGGATTGGTTGACAACCATAACAACAGAACGCCATGTTTACTGCAAGACTAGGACAAATCGAGTGCTTTAACTAGGCCCTAAGATACATTTTTTTTGCCCTGGTTTAAGGCAGAATAAAGAAGAATATACATATTCTAGGCAATGTGACCGATGCAGTTCAGTTTCAGCGTCGTTTGAAGCTATCTCAGATCGATTTTGACAGTTCTTCGGGGCAACAGAGGTAAGGTTTCAACAAGGAGGCTTCTCATTGGATAATTCGCAGAGTCTGCAGTCAGTATAGGGACACACGAATAATCAGAGAATGTCATGGGAGGGAGAATAATTAGAAAGTTGTAGCCGCTGTCGCAGTGTTGTGGTTTTCAGTACTTTATTTGCAACATTTGGGACTTTGTTTGTATTTAACTCTACTTTACTGTCGTTTCCCGAGAAAGTCCATAGTCACATTTTTCCCCACGTGCACTGCAGTGGCGGTCGGTGCCATTTAAGTTGAGGGAGGACGATTCTTTTTCATGAGCATGGCCTTATTTCAATTACAGTCTATTGGATGACTGTCATTCATATTCCATTCACCCAGTTCAATGTAATATCGATAGGTTTAGGCTACTACATGATACTCAAAATTTTCCTATACCCATCATGAGGTTGCTCCAACCTATCAATGAAAGTTTACAACATAAGTGCACACAGGTCGAGAGAATTGAGGTGACAGACTGTCCACATTCAATACTGTCTTGCACACTCTTGCCTGCAACAAGCTAATCTAGGTTGTAATTCACAGGAGGCTGGTGGCACCTTAATTGGGGAGGACAGGCTCATAGTAATGGCTGGAACGGAATTAAATGCAATGGTATCGAACACATCATACCATTCCATTCACTACATTCCAGCCATTGTTATGAGCAGACCTGCCCTCAGCAGCCTCCTGTGGTGTAATCAATAGTCCAACAGTTGCAAACGAGAGTTTCTACTGGACAATTCAGGTATATTTATACCCATTTAGTTACGTTTGCTTCCGTTTAATAAACGTTTTTCAACAGAATCAGCGGAATGCAGACACCCTGATCACACTTAAACACTGTTCACTTTCATATCAGCCACGTTGTATTCATTCTCGCATCTACACGCTGTCCTCATCTTTTCCCTTCGCTTGTGGACTTCAATGCACAACACATCAGCTGTATGTGACAAGGCAAAAAAAAACTTTCCAAGCCAAACAATATCATAACTGATACACACAGTCTACATGGTTGTAACCATATTAAAGTAACGTCATAGTCAGCCTAGCTAATCGAACTAACGCATTAGTAAACCCGCCTCAATCATGCAGTAACGTTAGTGTATAGTCACTAAGCAGTTTAGCAGTTACACCGGCAGGCCCCGGTGGCAATAAATGAGTAAAACCAAAAGCTTACCTTGACTTGGAAGAGTTCCAGTTTTGTGTTGGATAGTCATAGCCAGCTAGCTAACATAGCATCCCTCTGATTGAGCCGGTGTTTGAGTAGGCTAAACTAGCTAGCTGCATTTGCTAGCTAAGTAAGGGAAAGTGAAAAAGAATGACACAATATATCTCTCTCTCTTACGTCTCCTTCATGTTTGAAGAAATGTGTTCAACTATTGTCTTTCTCTCTCTGAGTCAACTACTCACCACATTTTATGCACTGCAGTGCTAGCTAGCTGTAGCTTATGCTTTCAGTACTAGATTCATTCTCTGATCCTTTGATTGGGTGGACAACATGTCAGTTCATGCTGCAAGAGCTCTGATAGGTTGGAGTACGTCCTCCGGAAGTTGCCATAATTAACATGTAGGGCCTTTTATCAGTTGTTTTGAAGGCCATACATTTATCTACATCGCCATAACATAAATGTGATAGCCTACATGTTATACTGATCTAGAATTCCCTCATCATGATTGCGCAATGTATTAATAAACAATGTACATACATCCTGTAGCCCTAATACCTATCCCCTTGTCATTATTTGTTCTGTTTCGCATGGACACAAAATAAATGAATCAATCATGATGTCACTGAATTTCCCCAGGCTGTTCTCTGCTCTTTGTAGCCATGGAGACCATGGAGGTGTATGAGGAGACTGATCGGAGGATGACAGAGGAGGTGGAGAGCTGCTACACCCTCATGGAGGTCACCTCTCCCAAGAAGAGGAAGAAGAACAAGGCTCAGCAGGGAGAGATCATGGAGAAACCCAAAAAACCCAGGTAGTCTACTCTACCTACTACACATTTACATTTACATTTTAGTCATTTAGCAGATGCTCTTATCCAGAGGGACTTACAGTTAGTGAGTGCATACACCAAACAATCAAACACCAACACCTCCTATCAATGCAGATGGGTCATTCTTGAATTACGGTGGCATTTGGGCAAAACGTCATTTTTCTAGATTTAATTGTTTATTTAAATATATTTGGGTACATCTTCCCATTCTAAATCAACTAATATGTTATCTTAAAGGCCCAGTGCAGTCAAAAACGTGATTTTCCTGTTTTATATTTATTTCCACACCATGAGGTTGAAATAATACTGTGAAATGTTCAAAATGATGATAATGTCCTTTAGTGTAAGTCGGAGATGTTTGAAAAAGACTGCCTGAACTTTCAGCCTGTTTTGGTGGGATGGAATATTGTCCTGCCTGGTGACATCACGAGGCGGTACATTTGTTAATAGACCAATAAGAAAGAGAGTTAGAAACCTCTCTGCCAATAACAGTTAGTTTTCAGTTTTCCCCTTCCCACTCAGACAACTCCCAGACAGTCCCAGCAAAATTCTTGATTGAGAAATTGCTCTTTGCTAAGAAGTAATATATACAGTGCTATGAAAAAGTATTTGCTCCCTTTTTAAATTTTCTCTACTTTTGTATATTTGTGATACTGAATGTTATCAGATCTTCAACCAAAACCTAATATTAGATAAAGGGAACATAAGTGAACAAATAACACAACAATTACATATTTATTTCATAAACAAAGTTATGCAACACCCAATTCCCCTGTGTGAAAAAGTAATTGCCCCCTTACACTCAATAACTGGTTGTGCCACCTTTAGCTGCAATGACTCCAACCAAATGCTTCCTGTAGTTGTTGATCAGTCTCTCACGTCGCTGTGGAGGAATTTTGGCCCACTCTTCCATGCAGAACTGCTTTAACTCAGTGACGTGTGGGTTTTTAAGCATGAACTGCTCGTTTCAAGTCCTGCCACAACATCTCAATTGGGATTAGGTCTGGACTTTGACTAGGCCATTCCAAAACTTCCAATTTGTTGCTTTTTAGCAATTTTCATGTAGACTTGATTGTGTGTTTTGGATCATTGTCTTGCTGCATGACCCAGCTGCGCTTCAGCTTCAGCTCACAGACGGATGGTCTGACATTCTCCTGTAGAAGGCAAGTCGTCCAGGTCCTGAGGCAGCAAAGCATCCCCAAACCATCACACCACCACCACCATGCTTGACCTTTGGTATGATGTTCTTACTGTGGAATGCAGAGTTTGGTTTTCGCCAGGCATAATGGGACCATGTCGTCCAAAAAGTTATACTTTTTAATCATCTGTCCATAGAACGTTCTTCCAAGAGTCTTGATGATCATCCAGGTGCTTTTTGGCAAACTTGAGTCAACCTTTTGGACGAGATGGGTCCCATTATGCCTGGCGAAAACCAAACACTGCATTCCACAGTAAGAACATCATACCAAAGGTAAAGCATGGTGGTGGTGGTGTGATGGTTTGGGGATGCTTTGCTGCCTCAGGACCTGGACGACTTGCCTTAATAGAAGGAACCATGAATGCTGCTCTGTATCAGAGAATTCTACAGGAGAATGTTAGACCATCCATCTGTGAGCTGAAGCTGAAGCGCAGCTGGGTCATGCAGCAAGACAATGATCCAAAACACACAATCAAGTCTACATGAAAATTGCTAAAAAGCAACAAATTGGAAGTTTTGGAATGGCCTAGTCAAAGTCCAGACCTAATCCCAATTGAGATGTTGTGGCAGGACTTGAAACGAGCAGTTCATGCTAGAAAACCCACACGTCACTGAGTTAAAGCAGTTCTGCATGGAAGAGTGGGCCAAAATTCCTCCACAGCGATGTGAGAGACTGATCAACAACTACAGGAAGCATTTGGTTGGAGTCATTGCAGCTAAAGGTGGCACAACCAGTTATTGAGTGTAATAATAATAATATGCCATTTAGCAGACGCTTTTATCCAAAGCGACTTACAGTCATGTGTGCATACATTTTTACGTATGGGTGGTCCCGAGGATCGAACCCACTACCCTGGCGTTACAAGCGCCATGCTCTCCCAATTAAGCTACAGAGGACCACAGTGTAAGGGGGCAATTACTTTTTCATACAGGGGAGTTGCATAACTTTGTTTATGAAATAAATATGTAATTGTTGTGTTATTTGTTCACTTATGTTCTCTTTATCTAATATTAGGTTTTGGTTGAAGATGTGATAACATTCAGTATCATGAATATGCAAAAGTAGAGAAAATTAGAAAGGGGGCAAATACTTTTTCATAGCACTGTATACACTACCAGTCAAAAGTTTGCACACAGCTACTCATTCAAGGGTTTTTCTTTATTTGTACTATTTTTTATATTGTAGAATAAAAGTGAAGACATCAAAACTATGAAATAACACATATGGAATAATTTAGTAACCACAAAAGTGTTAAACAAATCAAAATATATGTTATATTTGAGATTCTTCAAATAGCCACCCTTTGCCTTGATGACAGCTTTGCACACTCTTGGCATTCTCTCAACCAGCTTCATGAGGTAGTCACCTGGAATGCATTTCAATTAACAGGTGTGCCTTCTTAAAAGTTAATTTGTGGAATGTCTTTCCTTCTTAATGCGTTTGAGCCAATCAGTTGGGTTGTGACAAGGTAAGGGGGGTATACAGAAGATAGCCCTATTTGGTAAAAGACCACAGTGAAGGTCAGTCAATACGGTACATTTCAAGAACTTGTAAAGTTTCTTCAAGTGCAGTCACAAAAACCATCAAGCGCTATGATGAAACTGGCTCTCATGAGGACCGCCACAGGAATGGAAGACCCAGAGTTACCTCTGCTGCAGAGGATAAGTTCATTAGAGTTACTAGCCTCAGAAATTGCGGCTCAAATAAATTCAAGTCACAGACACATCTCAACATCAACTGTTCAGAGGGGACTGTGTGAATCAGGCCTTCATGGTCGAATTGCTGCAAATAAACCACTACTAAAGGACACCAATAAGAAGAAAATACCTGCTTGGGCCAAGAAACACGAGCAATGGACATTAGACCGGTGGAAATGTGTCCTTTGGTCTGGAATCCAAATTGGAGATTTTGTTTCCAACCGCCGTGTCTTTGTGAGACGCAGTGTGGGTGAACGGATGATCTCCACACGTGTAGTTCCCACCGTAAAGCGTGGAGGAGGAGGTGTTATGGTGTGGGGGTGCTTTGCTGGTGACACTGTCTGTGATTTATTTAGAATTCAAGGCACACTTAACCACGATGGCTACCACAGCATTCTGCAGCGATACGCCATCCCATCTGGTTTGGGCTTAGTGGGACTATAATTTGTTTTTCAACAGGACAATGACCCAACACACCTCCAGGCTGTGTAAGGGCTAATTTACCAAGAAGGAGAGTGATGGAGTGCTGCATCAGATGACCTGGCCTCCACAATCCCCCGACCTCAACCCAATTGAGATGGTTTGGGATGAGTCGAACCGCAGAGTGAAGGAAAAGCAGCCAACAAGTGCTCAGCATATGTGGGAAGTCCTTCAAAACTGTTGGGAAGGCATTCCACCAATGACACATTTTAGGTAAAGGAGGATTTTCTGAAATGGAGGCCACAAATGCTCAAATCTAAAGTCATCAAACCTTTAAAAAGAATTTACTAAAGTGATATGATTAAGCATTTTGCTCACAAGGTTATTTCCATTCATTTAAATTGACTAACACCAAGTGACACTTTAGATTTAGACACACCACATGATCAATGGAATCCTCCGATCAATGGAATCCTTTCGACATACTAAAAGGGTGTGATTAGCTAATCATTTTATTTAATATGGACCCCGAAAACAGTTTTCCACTGTTGAGAATGCTCAAGGTCCTTGAATATCTTTGTAATCAGTGATGACATAAAACTGAGGGACACACATTATACTAGTAAAAAATAGCGTTCTTTGTTTTTATTGATATATACAATATATTAAATACATTTATTCACTGTCTAGCATTCAAAATAATAGATATTTTGGCCATGTAATGTGTGTGGACACCTCATTGGAAAATCATGGGCATTAATATGGAGTTGGTCCCTCACTTTGCTGCTATAACTGCCTCCACTCTTCTAGGAAGGTTTCCACTAGATGTTGGAACATTGCTGTGGGGACTTGCTTCCATTCAGCCATGAGTATTCGTGAGGTCGGGCACTGATGTTGGGTGATTAGGCCTGGCACGCAGTCGGCGTTCCAATTCATCCCAAAGGTGTTCCATGGGGTTGACGTCAGGGCTCTGTGCAGGCCATTCAAGTTCTTCTACACCGATCTCGACAAACCATTTCTGTATGGACCTCGCATTGTGCACGGGGGCATTGTCATGCTGAAACAGGAAAGGGCCTTCCCCAAACTGTTGCCACAAAGTTGGAAGCACAGAATCGTCTAAGATTTCCCTTCACTGTAGCTAAGGGGCCTAGCCCGAACCATGAAAAACAGCCCCAGACCATTATTCCTCCTCCACCAAACTTTACAGTTGGCACTATGCATTGGGGCAGGTAGTGTTCTCCTGGCATCCGCCAAACCCAAATTCATCCGTTGGACTGCCAGATGGTGAAGCGTGATTCATCACTCCAGAGAACGTGTTTCCACTGCTCCAGAGTCCATTGGCGGCGAGTTTTACACCACTCCAGCCGACGCTTGGCATTGCGCATGGTGATCTTAGGCTTGTGTGCGGCTGCTCGGCTATGGAAACCCATTTCATGAGGTTCCCTATGAACATTTTGGAACTCGGTAGTGAGTGTTGCAACCGAGGCCAGATGATTTTAAAGTGCTATGCACTTCAGCAGTCCCATTCACACCTGTCAGCAATGGGTGTGGCTGAAATAGCCAAAGTCACTAATTTGAAGTGATGTACACATACTTTTGGCCATGTAGTATATCTCTAAAAAATAGTCACCAAGCCAATTTGCCCCTAGTAGTTTCTACAATGCATACAAATAGATATGTTGCAGTATAAAGGACTTACATATGTTTTCTTATTAAATAACAGTTAAATAAAACAGAACATGTATTATTTATCATGTGTTTGTCATTGTTAAGTGTTTTTACATGGTGCCAAAGTCAAGTGACAGCATTTACCACAGCAATTCAAGAATGACCCAGATGATAAACTCACTATTTTCACACTGACTGAGTGCACTTGATTTGGATTGCCTGTGTAGGTGGAGCAAGCTAAATCAAGTGACCCAATCTTTGTGTTGAGTTGACTGCTGTATGAGTCAAGATTACATTTATTTATCACGTTTTGATCTCTCACTTCCAGATCAGCCTACCTGCTGTACTACTTTGACGTGCACCAGACCATGCAGCAGGAGTTCCCCAACCTGCCCCAGTCTGAGATCAACAAGCGCATCAGTGTGAGCTGGAAGAGGCTCAACGTGGCAGACAAGGGCTACTACCTGGAGAAGGCCAAGCTGGAGAAGGAAGGGACAGACATGGTACGGTTACCTACTATTTCCACCAGTGTGTCTGGTATCTACGATCGTGTGGTCAGGAAAAACTCCTAGCCTTAGTCATAATGATAACACTACTCCTTCTCTCTGTATCCTCCGTAGTCATCTATGGGCCCTTCCCAGGAGCTCCCAGGCTTCCGTAGGATCCTCCCCAGGTCCAACTACGTCCTCCTGCCCAAGGGGACCATGACAGACAACAGGACAGGGTCCCAGCTGGAGGTGTGTATGGAGGGTCTGGACTCTCCCGTGGGGGAAGGAGTGATGCCCTCCCTGTCCCTTGGTACCCCCCAGTACCCTCCCCTTGTGCTGGGCTGCGAGGTGGAGCTGTCGGAGCAGTGCATCGCCATCGATGGCCTGACAGACGAGGAGGCTGTGACCCTGACACACTCCGGGGCCCTGCAGGGGGTCCTCTCCTCATCGTATCACTCCTCTTCCTCTGCATCCCACGACTCCCACAATGCACCTCACCTGGCGGCAGCCGGTCTGCTGCACAAGGAGGAGGAGCCGAGGATGGTGGGCGGGGGCTATAGTGTCATTGGAATGGCGACTGACGGGGGACGTGTGGGCGGGACGGTGGTGCAGCACGTGAAAACAGAGCTGGTCACCATCATACCCAATCAGGTTAGTTAGCAACGACACAGGAGTTGGCTTACCTTCCTGCTGATCATTCAACAGTCTAGGGTTACTATTCATTTGCCTTGTCCGTTTGTTCAATGCAGTAATGGTAGATAAAACTATTGTGTTTCCCCAGGATCTGATGGAGCACAGGACGTTGCCAGGCGCCAGCTCTGTAGCCTCTGTTGTCATGGTACCTGTAGGAGCCAGAGTGGTACGGGACACTAAACCCTCATACAAACTGGTAAAACTACTCAGACTGATTTGTCTTCCACTGCATCAATTTACCGTTATCCAATTTTCTTTGATTAGATCATCAAGCAATATATTACAAAATGTATTAAATTCCTGTGTCATTTTACCAGTCAGACATTCTAGCAGATTCTTACTAAAACATCTTTGTTTCTGTCTCCAGTCGAAAAAGTACACCAGAAGAGGCCGGGGCAGCTGTCAGACAGCGGGCTGTTCCTTCGTCTACGTGACCCGTCACAAACCCCCCTTCTGCCCTGACTGTGGCAACCACCTGGGGGGCAAGTGGGTGCCCGCTGTAAGTCTACACATTCCCTGGCTTAAAAGTCTGTTCCATCATAATATGAATGTTGAAGTAAAGATGACATTTTATTGGTAGGAAAATAATGAGTGTTCACTTAAACAGTTCCGAGGTATGACAAACTTTCCACGTTTTACATCTCAGGCGAAGAAGTCTTCAGTGAAAGGTGCTGCTCCTTCATCCAAGACTTCTCCCCAGAAACCACCAACCAACCCTGGGGACACCCATGAGACTAGTGTGCCTCCCTCTGATGATCAGAACAGTAAGGTGTCTGGAGGGCGGAAGGGAGGGAGAGGACCGCGGGAGTCTAGAGGACAAGCGCAGCAGCGTGCAGTTACATCAGAACCACCACTAGAGGGAGGCAGAGCCAACAGCCAGGGACTCATACAGCCTGCTCCAGCAGGGTCAGGGACACAGACAACTACTATGATGTGAGCATATAGTTCTTTAATTTAGCCCATATTTTATGGTTTATCATTTAATGGTCACATTGAGAATCCATTTTTCAAACAAGCCTTGTGAGAGTATTTCTCTTAGTGGGCTTCATGTTTTGATTGGTTTAAGAGAAAGTTCTTTAAGTTTCAGTTGTTCTGTCTTTGAGCAGAGCTTTGGTTGGAACACCTGTCACTGGTGCCAGGATCAAAGTTCAGGAAAGGAGCAGTGTGATTGGTCAAAAGCGACCTGTGAGAGCCATCCTCCCTGCCCCATTCAACACAGGTGGGCACTGCTGTGGACAGATACAACAACCCTAAGATGAATGCTGTCTGGGGTGTAAACACACATGCCTGAAACCTTGTTTCTGTTTGTCTGAAACTAGGCCGGGCCTTAGTCCAGTGGATTACTGTCCCTCCTCATAAAGGCAATGTTGAGAAGACCAACAGCAGCAAAGCAACCACAGGTAGGATATACACAGCCACATGTACCTATATAATATAGAAATATGTTTTAATGGTAAAATGGTTGTATTTTATCATGGTTAGCCAAGGTAAAGGTACTCATGTTCAAAGTGGTTACTTTGATCTAAGGGAAGTGACACTAGTTGTTTCTGAGGTAACTGAAAGTGTTTGATGTGGTGATTCGGTTTGGACCACAGAGCTCAGTGAGAAGATGGCAGGTTTGAAGCCTAACACTCTGAAACAGCTCGGCCAGATCGTGACAACAACGCCTCTGGAACAGGTACACACACACACACACTCCTGAAACATGCTGATTAAGTGTTTGTCTTCAGGTTTCTCAGTGTTGTTTTGTCCCATAGACTCCCCCTACTCCTGTGGACAGAAGCCAGTACATTGTGACTGATAAAGTAGGGAAGATTCTCTCAGTGGTTCCTCTCAAACAGAACTCTACCGCCACACTGGTTAGTGGGACCCTTTTAACTACATTCTGGGGATAATAGGCCATCCTCACACGTCCTCTAGCAGGCTGTGTGCTCTGTATTACTCCCACTCCTACTGTATGTCCTGCGTCCTCTTTTTGACTGTCTGTCTGTATGTCAGGACCTGGGTCTGTCTACGGCGCGGGGCAGGGGTCGCTGTAAGAACCCGTCATGTGGCTATGTCTATAAGAACAGACACAAGCCTCCTGAGTGCCCCTGCTGTGGCTGGGAGCTGTCCAGAAAGAACGCCAAGGGCTCCAAGCTACAGGTCAGTCCCGAGAGAATCCCACTATGGGTGCATCTGAAATGGCACCCTATAGGGCTCTGGTCAAAAGTAGTGCACTTTATAGGGAATAGGTTGCCATTTAGGATGCAGTTTATGTTTAGGTGTTGTTGTATTTCTCTCTGTGTCTGTCTGAATTCTTCCTCATCTCTCTGTTGTCATCCTCCAACCCTCTGTCTGTTGTCATCCTCAAACCCTCTGTCTGTTGTCATCCTCCAACCCTCTGTCTGTTGTCATCCTCCAACCCTCTGTCTGTTGTCATCCTCCAACCCTCTGTCTGTTGTCATCCTCCAACCCTCTGTCTGTTGTCATCCTCCAACCCTCTGTCTGTTGTCATCCTCCAACCCTCTGTCTGTTGTCATCCTCCAACCCTCTGTCTGTTGTCATCCTCCAACCCTTCTTTCTGTTGTCATCCCTCCAACCCTCTGTCTTGGTCAATCCCCCCATCCTCCAACCCTCTGTCTGTTGTCATCCTCCAAACCCGCTGTCTGTTGTCATCCTCCACCCTCTGTCTGTTGGTCCATCCTCCAACCCCTGTCTGTTTTTTTTTTCCCTCTTCCTTCATTCTCTCTCTCTCTCTTCTCCTCTGTTTCTTCTGTTCCTCCGCTCTGTTTCTGTATCGTCTCTCGGTTTTCTGTATCTCTCATCTCTGTTTCGTACTCTCTTTCTCTGTCTCTCGTCCCTCTCTCTCTCCCTCTCTGCTCTTCTCTCTGTCTCTCTCTCTCTCTCGTCTCTCTCTCTCTCTCTTCTCTCTCTCTCTCTCTCTCTCCTCTCTCGTCTCTCTCTCTCTCTCTCTCCTCTCTCTCTCTCTCTCTCTCTCCTCTCTCTCTCTCTCTCTCTCTCTCTCTCTCTCTCTCAGGGTGGTTCAGTAGCTCTGTTAGACCCGTACCGGACCCTGTCCCCAGCCCAGAGGGAGCTACAGCGCCAGTCCACCCTGCAGCTGCTGCGTCAGGCCCTGCAGATCCCTGAAAGTGAGGCTGAGCTCCATGACACCCTGGCCCTCATCCAGGAGCTCAACTCCACCCAGGTGGTCCTCACCACCAACCAGGCTGGGAACCAGGTGTTAGGGGAAGGGGAGGACCAGGGAGGCCTGGGGGAGGTACAGGTTCAGTCAGGCTGGCCGCGGTTCTTTGAGTCTGCAGCCACACACTGTGCTCTGTGTCACTACCCGCTGTTCAAGGGAGGACAGAGGTGAGAAGAAGTTTTGTTTGCGTAGTTTTGAGTTTATTATGGCTCAGTGGTTGGACATTTCTGGTGCTCAGGGGTTGGATATTTCTGGACATTTTTTCAAATTTCTGGTGTTTTGAACCATAGTTTGGTTTCAGGAAAGGTCTCTCTATAATGTATCTCTCTGGTGTTTTGTACCATAGTTCTTTAGCAGGGCAGGAGGACTGCTGGCTGTTGACTGACTCTCTGATCCAGACAGCCTCTCTCCAGCTGAAGGTGTGTCTCAACCCCCAGTGTATGGCCCTGCACAGCTTCACCGACCTCCACCCAGGTCTGTTCAATGTTGGCAACAGGTTGCTGGTGAGTCTGGACCTGTTCTTTAAGATCCGGAGTCAGGTCAGACTGGGCCGGCATCCTAACCAGACAGTCAGGACCATCCTGGACAACATCCACATCCACCCTGGTAAGACTTCCTTGGAGCAATATACGGTTCAGAGGGTTTTCAACACTGAGTTCTTTTCATGTCCACCGTTCTCTAACTTCATCTATTCTCTGTTTTCTTTCGCCTCTCTTCATCCAACCCACTCTCTTTCTTTTTTCCTCATCTTCCATCCATCTTCCCTCTTCTCCCCCTTCTCTCTCTCCCTCCCTCTCTCCCTCCATCGATCAGTCCACAATCTGAGTCCTGAGGAGTTGGCCCATGTCCAGGAGCTGCTGGTTAGTGGCTACTGGGCCTTTGAGTGTCTGACGGTGAGGGACTACAACGACATGATCTGTGGTGTGTGTGGCATTGCCCCCAAGATGGAGATCGCCCAGCGGTACACACACAACGTGCTGGAGCTCAGGAATGTGGAGGTGAGGGAGAATGGGAGAGACTTAGACGGGAGGTCAAGGAGAGACTGAGGAGACGGGAGGTCAGGGGGGGACTGAGGAGACGGGAGGTCAGGGAGAGACTGAGGAGAAGGGAGGTCAAGGAGAGACTGAGGAGACGGGAGAGACTGAGGAGACGGGAGGTCAAGGAGAGACTGAGGAGACGGGAGGTCAGGGAGAGACTGAGGAGACGGGAGGTCAGGGAGAGACTGAGGAGACGGGAGGTCAGGGAGAGACTGAGGAGACGGGAGGTCAGGGAGAGACTGAGGAGACGGGAGGTCAAGGAGAGACTGAGGAGACGGGAGGTCAGGGAGAGACTGAGGAGACGGAGGTCAGGGAGAGACTGAGGAGACGGGAGGTCAGGGAGAGACTGAGGAGACGGGAGGTCAGGGAGAGACTGAGGAGACGGGAGGTCAAGGAGAGACTGAGGAGACGGGAGGTCAGGGAGAGACTGAGGAGACGGGAGGTCAGGGAGAGACTGAGGAGACGGGAGGTCAGGGAGAGACTGAGGAGACGGGAGGTCAGGGCGAGACTGAGGAGACGGGAGGTCAGGGAGAGACTGAGGAGACGGGAGGTCAGGGAGAGACTGAGGAGACGGGAGGTCAGGGCGAGACTAAAAATTGAGACTTAAAGATGATTTTCTTTACTTCATTTGTTTTAGCCTGCCTGATCCCAGCACAGTCAAGCTGTCTGGTGTGTATATTGTTGATACCTGTGTCTCCCTCTCCCTCCTGTAGTTTACGTGGCCAGACTTCGGGGCTCCAGACGAGGTGCATGTGGATGACTTCTGGCTGACCATGGAGAGTGAGGCCATCGAGCAGGCAGTGTTCCCCTGCAGCGTCCCCATCACCCGGGTCGACGCCTCCATCATTGCCCCCTTCCTCCCCCCACTGATGAGGAGCTCCACTGTCATCAACACAGAGAAGGACAAGGCCCTGCTCCTCACACAGCACACAGGTTGGAAGTCACACTCTCTCAGGGCTGGGGAATAGGTCAATCACTGGAGAGAGAAACATCATACTCAAATCTGGAAGTCTTTCAGATATTTCATTGATCATTACATGTTCATACCCTGTTTATCAATCATTTAAAAAAAAAGTGAGTATATAACATTCTAGAGTGTGTGTGTGTTTTCCAGGTGACCCGTCAGTTCTGGTGCGTCTGATCCACGAGGGCCAGCTCAGACCGGACCGTATGGACGAGCACAGTGCAGAGGAGCTCAAAGCCATACTGGACTGCTGTGGAGAGATAACTGCACCTGAGAGCAACAAGGTATATACCAACCCTGTGTATATACCTTGTATATACCTGTGTCCGTGTATGTATATTTCTGGTTTGATTGTGTGTGTTTAGGAGATTGATACATGTCTCTTCTCTCTTTCTGTCAGGATGAGTTGCTGGTCTCTCTGATCTCCCTGTGTACGTGTGTTCAGAACGGCCTCTCCACGGCCCCTCAGCCCCCTCCACACCTCACAGCAGGCAAGCTGTCCAAGATCTGCCCCCATCAGGTAACAGCACACAACTCACCAATCAATACATCCAATATCAATTAATCAATCAATCAGTCATCCACCAGAATCCATTCAACTATTACTCAGTCAATCAACCTGTCAATTAAACATTCAGTCTGTCAGTCTATGAAAAATGATAGGGTAGCCAATCAGGCCTCACACAATAACAAAATCTATTGACCAATAAACACAAGAGAAACAGAAAGATGATAAAGACTACTTTTCCCATACTCCTCCAGGTGGTGTGTGGTTCTAAGTACCTGGTGAAGGGTGAGACGGCGCGGGACCACGTGGACCTGCTGGTGTCCTCCCGGTACTGGCCTCCCGTCTACGTTACCGACTCTGCCCGCCAGGTGGCGCTGTGTACAGACGTGCAGTACCCTGAGCTGGCCTCCACCATGTGGGGCAGGAACCAGGGCTGCTTCTCTGACCCAATGGACAAACCAGAGGTAGGCCCTCACACTGGGCATGGAAAGGACTTAGTTATTGACATCTGATTATTGGACTAGGAGGGAAACTGAGGTCAAATCAGGATGGTGTCGGAAGGTTTTTTTAACCTGTAATATGCTGATTTTACAAGATAATTTGAAGAATGAATTGGTCTCTATTTACATAATAGATAGTAGATACACTAGGTACTGTGGATGTTATTGTTGTTTATCTCACCTCTCTCTCTCTCCATCAGTTTGTGTCATGTGCTGAGCTACAGGACCAGCCTTACAGTGCTGACCTGTCCTCCGTGGTGGAGAACCCCCAGGTCCACCCTGTCACCAAGTCCTCTTCCCGCTGGATAGTGCACCCTGCTGGGCCTACAGATGTCCAGGAGCCCCGCTGTCTGGACCACCACTCCATGGGGCTCTGCAAGGAGCTGGAACCTTACTGCAGCCTGGTACAAGACCTGGAGAGAGACGACAATGAAGAAGAGAATGAAGGGAAGGTGGGGAGGAAGGATGGGGTCAAGGTTGAAGCCGAGGTAACAGAAGGGTCAGAGGTTACTGAGGAGGAGTGTTCTGAGGGTTTGGTGACATCATTGCGGCGGCGGCCTTTGGCCTTTGACAACACAGCCTACTACTACCTGTACAATCGTCTGCATGACTTCCTGTCCAGCAGGGAGGTGGTGGACCAGCAGATCAGCACGGTGCTGAAGGCCTGCCAGCCTGGGGAGGTGGTGATCAGGGATGCCCTCTATAGGCTGGGGGTGGCACAGATCAACACCCAGGAAGAGGAAGGGGAGGAGGGGGAAGGAGACGGGGGAGTGGAGGGGGAAGGAGACGGGGGGGTGGAGGGGGAAGGAGACGGGGGGGTGGAGGAGGAAGGAGAGGGGGAGGGGGAGGTGGAGGAGGAAGGAGACGGGGGGGTGGAGGAGGAAGGAGACGGGGGGGTGGAGGAGGAAGGAGAGGGTGGGGTGGAGGGAGACACTGGGTACGAGGAGGAAGTGGTTCTCTGAGAGTGACAGACTGTGGCTTTTTGGAGACTTATTTTGTGCTCTGACCCAACAAGTAAACAAACCAATGTAATTCTCTGACATCAGGGGATAATGTTTAATATTATGAACATATGGCCCACTGTATTATGAGGTAGTCCTTTTTAGAAATAAGCCAATATACATCTGGTTAATAAAAGCTAGAGTGTAGTGGGGAGGGTGGTAGTCCTTGAATGTACTGTGCAAAAAGATGTTTGAGTGTTTCCAAAGAAACAGAGGTGTTGCTGCTAACCAGACAGATAGTCTAACTTATTTTATCATCAGTCCAGCAGAGACTTTGCTGCTGGCTTGAAATAAAGAATGGCACTTAGTTTTCTTCGTGAGAGGAGCAGAACCAGTGAAGTATAAAAACGTGAATGTTACTAACTGCTCTCTGCCTTACTTTGACTGAAGGAAAGTTCACATAGTTTTAGAATAGAGAAAAAAGTTTTAACATATTGTTCATGTTGACTAACTTCATTATTGGAGTGCATAATGTTCTGTCTAGAAATCTATTATTATTTAATAACTGTATTTAATGAGTCCTCGTGTTTTCTCATCATCAGTGAGACCTTTCAAACTGTTCTATATTATCTTCTTGTACCTCGGTTGTCACTCGTTGCCCTTTGGGCTGAAATGTATTCGAAGTAGACAATCTTTCACATCTGCCTCATGGGCTGATGGAATCTGTAGTTCTTGTGGCCTTTGATTGTTTTTTGACTACAGGAGACTCTTGCCTGAGCTCCTATTGGAGGGGTGGCTCCTAATGTCAGGACTGTTCTATCATCCACTCTCAGCTGCTTGAATGGAATGTAAAGAAGACAATGATTGACTTGATGATGTAACGGTGTAACAATTTGCGGGTGTAACTTGATACCCACTCAAGGGGGTAAGAAAATAAATGGTGAATGTTGCAATTTCTGAGCAATTTTGCTCAAGGAATTCTAAATAAAGAGAAAAAAGGATTTCCTAATGTTGAATCAAGTTTCAGTGGGATTCTTACTTCCTATTTAGGTGGTCTGGTATTGCTCAACCTCCCTTGAGAACAGGGAATGAAACTACAGAAGAATGCAGAGAAGACATTTTCATCCGAAACGGGAACTGAGGTAAAAAATCACTGACATGTAGCTTTTTGTTCCCTGTCGTATGACGTACAACGGAGTAGGCTGAAATGGTGTTGTTGAAACAAGTCCAGAGGGAAATATAACATTGTATATCCAAGGGAAGCCAGACATATCTTTATTTAAGTTTCTTTCTTTTTTTAAACATATTGTCTGAGTATAATTACACTCCTTGCAGACCGTACAGTGATTTGGTAAGCAAAAAACTAAAAGGATTTAATGACAAAATATCTGTTTTTGGCTTTCAAGCAGTAAAGTGAAAATAAACATCAATTTATTCATTTACATTACATCATACATACACTACATACAAATCTCTTACTTTTCTCTCATTTCCACTGCAACAGTATTCAGAATAGCCGCTAACAATCCAAGTAACTGTTTTACAACAATTCTGACTTTTAGCTGACATAGACTTTAACTGACTTATAGTTTTTATCTGCAATCATGGTAATTACAGTAGGCAGTATTAGCTGAATGCTACATTCAAAACAAAGAAGCAATATTTTTGTGGCATTATTTACACGTTTTATCATACTGATAGCGGTATACATATCACAGGAGGTCTGTGGCACCTTAATTGGGAAGGACGGGCTGATGTAAACAGCGTCTCAAAATCAATTTCAATGGTTTATTTAGCATGTTTAAGCTGGATTGTGGTCCCCAGTTTGATTTGATCTCAGGAACGGTTATGTCCTGCATCAAAATAAGCCATCATACGTATAAAGAAATACTTTGTTAATAATAATTATGTTGGTGTTTATAGTTGTCCTATTTCACAAGGAAATGTTTTTTTTTTTTTTTTTTTTTTTTTTTTTTTGCATATCCCAACTCCCCCCAAGACACCCACAGAGAGTGGGGTCACAGCCAGGATCAGCCATTATTAATGGCGTAACTGAAGCAATTGGGGTACAACAACCGATTTCTCACCTTGAGGGATTTGAACCAGTGACCTTTCAATTACTGGCCCAACATTCTAATCTCGATACTACCTGTTCATATATAGGCAAACATTCTACAATCTGCAATGTTTGCTACTGTCTTGCTGCTGCCTCTGAAAACTGCGAATAGCATGTTGAAAAAAGATCGTTCAACCATGTGGAAGTGAACCCGCTGACAAACGTGAATTAAAACACCACAGCAACATTCTTTTCCACAACTAAGAAATCAACAATCTCACCATAGTGGTAACAGAGGACATAGCTAGAAGCCTGTGGACAGAACAATCTGTTCAGTCAGGGTAGATCCATCGTTGGTGCATAATCTCAAACCATAGAAAAAGTAATGAATGAACATACAATAAGGCATTACATATAGTAAGTACATAACTAAGACACTATCTGTGATTAGATCAGTTCTCTCCTGCGTAAGACATGGTATCTCAAGTCAGAGTATATATCAAGTCGCATGACTCTTTCAGCTGCCTGTCTATCTACAAGCCAAAACAGAACTTAAAAATAGCTTTTCAGGCATTTATTGCTTCACGAAAATATCCCAATTCCATTTCTATGGCTCTACGTTCCTAGAATGATTCTACAGTGAGCAAGAAAATAAAGAATGTTGAAGAATTCCAGATCAGAATGTGGATAGTTTGTTGCTGCCAGGGAGTTTTCAGCAGAACTGATAGTTATTGGTCTTCATCAGAGGTTGCTCCTCCTCTTCGTGCTCACAGGACTGGTCACAGGAGCCGTCACAAAATTTTGTCTCGTCGACATCATCACCATCATCATCACACAGCTCCAACTCCTCAATCACCATGTCCTGTTGCTGGATGTTCTGGTACATCATCTGCTGCTGGGAGAGGAGAACACCTTGAAGTTATGGTACTGCTATCTTCAGATAATGCTTTAGTATGGTCAATCCAGTCTGAGAATGGAAGATGCTTTATGTTCTCCATAGCATAGATGCTGTTTTATTCTGATAAGAGATATCTGCCTTGGTAAACATCCATCCCCCTCTCTGTGTTACCTGGTCTGGATGTTCGGGCTGCTCTCCTAGTACTCTCTCAATAAGCTGGCTGATTTTACTGAAGGTGGGTCGCTCTGTTGGCTGCAGATTCCAGCACATTTTCATGATTGTATACCTGGTGGGGCATCAAGATCATAATGTTATTGGTCACAATACATTATTAAAAAATATATCATTCTGCAGTTCAGCAAGGCCCTCAAGCATCATGGATAAGATTGTCTCAATATGGAGCTTTATGGTCTTTCAAACCACTCCGTGTCCATATCAAATTATACTGAACAAAAATATCAATGCAACATGTAAGGTGTTGGTCCCATGTTTCATGAGCTGAAATAAAAGATCCCAGAAATGTTCCATGTGCACAAAAAGCTTATTTCGCTCAAATGTTGTGCACAAATTGGTTTACATCCCTGTTAGTGAGCATGTCTCATTTGCCAAGAGAATCCATGCACCTGACAGGTGTGACATATCAAGAAGCTGATTAAACAGCATGATCATTACACAGGTGCAACTTGTGCTGCGGACAATAATAGGCCACTCTAAAATGTGAAGTTTTGTCACACAACACAATGCCACAGATGTCTCAAGTTTTGAGGGAGCATGCAATTGGCATGCTGACTGCTGGAAGCTGTCATCAAGGCAAAGGGTGGCTATTTGAAGAATCTCAAATAAAATATATTTTGATTTGTTTAACACTTTTTTGCTTACTACATGATTCCATAAGTGTTATTTCATAGTTTTGATGTGTTCACTATTATTCTACAATGTAAAAAATAGTAAAAATAAAGAAAAACCCTTGAATGAGTAGGTGTGTCCAAACTTTTGACTGGTACTGATATGTATGTATATATATATATATATATATATATATATATATATATATATATATATATATACAGTGAGGGAAAAAAGTATTTGATCCCCTGCTGATTTTGTACATTTGCCCACTGACAAAGAAATGACCAGTCTATCATTTTAATGGTAGGTTTATTTGAACAGTGAGAGACAGAATAACAACAAAAAAATCCAGAAAAACACATGTCAAAAATGTTATAAATTGATTTGCATTTTAAAGAGGGAAATAAGTATTTTACCCCCTCTCAATCAGAAAGATTTCTGGCTCCCAGGTGTCTTTTATAAAGGTAACAAACTGAGATTAGGAGCACACTCTTAAAGGGAGTGCTCCTAATCTCAGTTTGTTACCTGTATAAAAGACACCTGTCCACAGAAGCAATCAATCAATCAGATTCCAAACTCTCCACCATGGCCAAGACCAAAGAGCTCTCCAAGGATGTCAGGGACAATATTGTAGACCTACACAAGGCTGGAATGGGCTACAAGACCATCGCCAAGCAGCTTGGTGAGAAGGTGACAACAGTTGGTGCGATTATTCGCAAATGGAAGAAACACAAAAGAACTGTCAATCTCCCTCGGCCTGGGGCTCCATGCAAGATCTCACCCTGTGGAGTTGCAATGATCATGAGAACAGTGAGGAATCAGCCCAGAACTACACGAGAGGATCTTGTCAATGATCTCAAGGCAGCTGGGACCATAGTCACCAAGAAAACAATTGGTAACACACTACGCCGTGAAGGACTGAAATCCTGCAGCGTCCGCAAGGTCCCCCTGCTCAAGAAAGCACATATACAGGCCCGTCTGAAGTTTGCCAATGAACATCTGAATGATTCAGAGGAGAACTGG